ATATATATATATATATATATATATATCTTTATTTATTTATTTGTTTATATTTATTATTATTTGGTACAGTTGTATATAAATAAATCCGTACATACCTAGATAAATTTATATTGCTGTAGGTATACATTCACACATAGGGATGATCGGACATGGCTGCACCTATCCGTCAGCTTCGGTGGATGCCATGCGAGAAAGAAAATAAAAAGCGACGCATACATAAACGTATAAAAGGATAGAGCAGCAATTCGTATTTTTCTCATCCCCATAATCTTTTCTGTTGTCTTGTCAACCTGCTGGATACATATCTTAAATTTCACTAACTTCTCTGTCTTTCACTTCCTTTTTTTCTATATGTCTGTGAAAACATTCGCTAGTACCAAAACAGTTCTCCACTGACACTAATCAAAACGTCCAATGCAACAGCAACGGCAGCAACAGCGATAGCGGCGGCTGCAACAGCGTTAAAGTTAAAAAGGCGTTGTGTCGTTAATTATCGTCGCCGTCGTTGTCGCCGTCACCGCCACCAATATCGCTGTTGCCGCAATCGTTGCTTTACGTTTACCGTCGTTGTCGTTATTGTCATGGCCATCACCATCATTGTGAATGAAGAGTAGTGACTAGCTGATTACGTACAATATTTTCATAACTCACTGTACCTAAAAGCTAATAGTGACTGAGAACAGAAGATGCTTGGCTGAAAAGTGTTGATGGTTGTTGGCGTGAAAAAAAATTGTATTTCATTTGTAGTGGTCATCATATTTCTCTGTCTCACTGCTGAATTGATGCAACAGCAGCACTGCAGTCAACGCACAGCATATCTCCGGGCTGTTTATGTTGGTGACGGTGTTGTTGGTACTGCTGCTACTGGTGATGCTGATGCAGATGCTGACGATGAAGACGGTGAATGCAGTTGCCGCAGATGCTGGTTCGCGCACCAGGTTTTTTTTGTTTGATATTTAGTTGATTTTGTTTGAGCGGCGACTGCCGCTACGAAATGCGGTGTTGGTGTTGTTGTTGCTGTAACGGCTGTTGCTGCAATTGACGCCGCTATTTGCCCAGAACGAGCAGACGAACATATATATTCCTATCCCCCTGCCTACCCCCTCCTGCAGTTGCATACACATACCCTCTGGTCTCCAAAACCACCACTAAACGGCATTGTGAATATCATCAACAGCATTATCGTAGTCGTCAGTGCTAGTAGCAATAGCGGCAGTATCTCTAATGACTGGATGATGCTGATACTGTTCTTCGTGAACATTACGACATATCGTTATCGATTTGTTTTGGTCAGTCAAGCAAATCTATTTAGATGGCAGTAAGTATGTTAGTTATGCCTGGTGTAGTGTTTGTTGTGCCAAGCATCAGATATGCATTTCCATATACAGATGTGGACATAAGTATTTATTGTTCCTTTGTTTCAAGTTTTTAGTCTTCAAAACGTTTTTGTTTCACCTTACTTTCTGTTTAGTAAGTCGTTGTTGTAAGCATTTGCTTATACTGTCGGCGTCTCTGCCTGTTAATGTGAACGTTTTTTTCC